CCCTCCGTCCCCTTGTTGCCTCTTTCTAATAGAGATAGCAAGGGGCGGGGAAAGAGGAAGGGGTGCTGCAAAGCAGCAGTGCTGCGTGGAGCCCAAGGTCTGCCTCTTTGAAACGCCGGGAGGAAGTCCCCTGCTTGTCCTGGGCTGCACGTGGCGTTTCAAAGAGCAGCGCTGTGTAAAGCCCAGGGACAGTTCTCCAGCTGACCCTGGGTTCCATGCAGTACTGCCACTTCGATACGCTGCGGGGAGCACAGGGCCAGCAGGGGACTTGTAGTTCTTTGAAAAGTTTACAGCTGAACATTGATTTTATTTAATAGTTTTTAAACTTTTCTATGCAGAAGAAAAATGCTGAGTTCCCTTTATTATTTTTAGTAGTTTACATTTAACACAGTACTGTACATTATTTACTTATTTTTCTTCTGCCTGATTGCATACTGCCAATTCCAAATGAGACTTGTGGTTGACTGGCCTGTTCATAATGAAGTTCTGCTGTAAATCTTACCGGGTGGTTTGCCAATTGGGAAGAGCAAAACTGTATCAATTTACCCTTGAATCATTTTTTCAAGTTCACATCCAGGAGAATTAAAAACAAAATTTTGAAAAGAGAAAAACCCTTAAATTGTGGAGCACAGTTATGTGTTCTGCAGCTGCTTAGTCATGTGAGTCCTTGGTGGAGCTACATTGAGTTTTAACAAATGAAATAAACAAACACAAGAAACTTAGGTGTAAAGCTTGAAAAGTAGCCAGTCTTTCAGATATCAGGAGAAAGTATATGTTTGAGAAGTTACACATTTGTCTCTGATAATTTGCTATAAGAAGACACAAAGATACACTTTTAGGCAAGATTTCTCAAACTTCTTTGCACTCTCTTCTCACAACAAAAATTATACGACCCTGGGAAAGGGACCAAAGCCTGAGCTTCACCACCCCAGGTGAGTGGGACGAAACCTCAGCCCTGCTGGCGGGGACTGTTTTGGCATCAGCCCTGGGCAGTGGTGCTCAGACTTTGGCTTTAACTCCATACGTTAGCAGGTCTAATGCCATCACTGGCAATACCATTAAAACGGGATCACAACCCGCTTTGGGGTTCTGATCATTGTTTGAGAACCACTGCTTTCAGATGACAACATTCATAAAGGGAGCATTTTAATGTTTCTCCAACAAAGGTAGAAAATTATTTTTTCAGACAAACTTATGGAAAATGTAATAGTCCTCTGAAGATGTATTGTGGTGTTTAGAGTACAATCATTAAAGTTTAGAAATAGCATTATTTAGCCCTGATTGAAGTATTGATTCAACCCAACTTTTTTATTTATTTGCATTTTGTTAGTACATAGAGGCCTGGGCCTGTTAAACTAAACCCTGTGCAAACATAAAACACAGATATGGTTCCTATCCTGAAGACCTTACAGTCTAAGTAATAAGCTTAACCAGAGCCTTCATAATCTTTTTATTACTAGGGATGTTAACACATAGTTGTGTAAACAATTAATAAACCTGGGTTTCCTGGTTAATCTGAAAGACTACACGTACCCCTCCCCACCCCCTTGCTGATGTGGCAGCATGCAAGGAAAGCAGGAGCCGGTGCCTGTGGGAAGGTGGCTTAAAAGAGGCAGCAGCGTGGGGGAGGGGGCAGACAGGATGCTGGGTCAGCCCCTGTCCATGTGGAGCTCGGGCCCTCCATGGACAGAGGCTGCTGCCGCCACCCTGCACTGCTGCCTCTGATACAGAGATCTCTTCAGGGATCCTACAAAGAAGTGTTCTTTACTACATATCTCTGATTCTTCTCCAGAGCAGGTCCTCCATGTGCATTGCATTAGTCTGTGGTCCTTTAAAAAAAATTTCCATCACCATCCCCCCACATCAATTGGTTCTTGTTCCAAAACTCCTTGTCCAGCCAGTTTAATCTTCCTCCCTCTCTCCACCCAAGCTTTTCTTCCAAATATCAATATCTATCAGTTTCCAGTCTCAGCCTCCCCTCCTCCACCCAGCTCCCTGTCTCTTTAACCAGGCAATTCCTCCCTCCCAACTCCAAGGCACAGCTCCCCAAACCTCCCGAGTCCCAGTTTCAGCAGACTCCTAGTCCTTAAGTCCTTCCTTCTCTGTTATTCTGGCTTTTGTCTTGCATTTGAATCCTACAGCTTTGACATCCATGCTGCATGGGTGCTAACAGGGAAAGCACAAGGAGGACAGGGTATCTGCTCTCAGTTCTGGTGGCTGGCTCTATTCTGGCTCAGAGTAGCTATTACAGGAAAAGTGTGACTATTCCCTGATAGTCTTGGGAAGAAACATGGTGAGTTGCTCCATAGAGATTGTGCAAGTACAGCCTGATCAGCAGTAGGCTGGGACATGTTTAGTCACAGTCTGTTCAGTGATAGGAGCTGAGAGAGGCAATGAGCATGCCCAGTGAAATCACAATCTTTGAATTTTAGCAGCTATAAACCTCAGATGTCTGTACCGAGCTTATGCAAACTGAGAATTCTCAAAGGCTCATAAATGAGCATGGATTTTCACAGGGATGGCAAAAGGCCCTTCCTCTGCCAAATATGAACTCCCTACCCTAAAGCATGGGACTCTGGACTTTACTATTTGCATATGCTGCATTTTGAATTATACATTTTAAGTTATTTATACATTTTTGTGTATAATATAATGTATTAAAATGGATAGTCTCTCTTCCTCCTCAGGCTTTCTTCCAATGAATTGTTTGTTTGTACTGCCAAAAATGTGCACTCAATCAGTAAACTGGAGTGTAAGCTTTTTTTAACCGGTTAATGTAAGGCCATGTCTACCCTAGGAGATTATTTCAAATGTACTAAGTTTGACTTCTGGGCACCCAATTTTACATATTCGAAGTTCTGTGACCTCACTACAGAGAAGAATCAAATGTAGCCCAAGGCAGGCTCCGTTAATGTGGACGTGCTACCTCAGACTCAGAGCGCCAGGAAGCGCTCTGGGGAGCTGCAGGAGACCACTCGGAGGCCAATTAGTTTGAATTAGTGGCACTGGAGTGTCCATGCTAACTTTATTTCGGACTTACATGCTTGGGAATAGCATTATTCCTCATGAAAAGCAGGACTACAGAGTTCAAATTCCGTGGCCCCTTATTCCAGAATAATGGGCTTGGTAGTATGGACATATTTCTTACAAAATTGACCTTGGAGGGCTCATTTTGGACTAAGTTCCTAGTGTAGACCAGGCCATACTCAATTCTGATTACAATTCAGATTTAATAAATTAAATTTTTAAGGTCTTATTTTTAGACGTTTGATTGTAATAGATTTTCAATTTATACTTACACATCATTTATATGTATCAAGAACATCTTCATTTTAAATACATTTTATATTTTTATTATACAAGTGCTTAAAAATGTCATATGAAGAGAAACTAAGCAGCCCAAAACTGTTCATTTCCATTTGTCTGTTTTCATTGCCCAATAATCAGAACAGCCAACCAACTTGATAATTTTAGGACTTTCTTAGCAGCTTTAGGGAAAAAAATTATTAGAAAATATAGTTGTGAATTCTTCCTGACTCTCTTAAATACATTTTAAATGTGTGATACGAAGAAATGAAATTTCTACAGAAATCTGATAACTTTACCACTCAGTCAAAACCCTTGCTTCTAATTTAGATGCTATGCAGTATTAGATTTGCTCCATCAGCCACTGGATATAGTAGCACAAATAGCAAAATTTGTTTGCAGCATGCAATAACTATGACATATAAATAAATATAAATTATGTCCCCTCCTTAAAATAAAGACTGCTTTTTATAACCAGTATGTTTTGATGATTAGTTTGTTAATGTACTAAGGTTTACAATGAATGTATTCACCAAAATGAAAAAGTACCATATAGACTTTACTTGAACAGTTCATGTGTGAATGTCCAGTAAGGAGCAAATAGTAAAATATACCCCTGTGAAGGAATGTTACATAAACTCTTTTAATCATTAAAATTGCTGTAGTTTGAAGGTATTGACTTGTCTTTATGTATAGTTGTTGCAAATCTATCCTCTAACAGCAGCTACAAAAGTATACAAATTCTGGAGAGGCAGATTTAGTCAGCGGTTAGGTCTGAAATAGGTTGTTTTCTGGGCAGTTGGAGTACTGGCAGTCAGTGATGTCCCACTGTCTATTAAAATTGAGGATGTGCAAAATACCCAATTTGAATTTGGTCTGTATATCTTCAGAGAGATGTGAATTCAATATATGAAGATATGCAGATTAACTCAAGTAGTGTCCCACTTCCTCCACAGAAAATAATTATTCTTCTTCGAGAGGCATCCTTGGGATGCTCCACAGTGGCTTGTCCCTGGGGGTGCTCCACAGTGGGTGTTGATGTGTCCCAGCATCTCTAGATGCTGTGGAGCACTCCCAGGGACGCTCATCTCGAAGAACATCAGTTACAGGAAGGTGAGTAACCTCATATTTATGAAATGGTTACAAATGTTATGAAAATATACTATAAATGAAAAAGTCGGCTGTTTACAGTAAAAGACTCCACAATTTGTGTAGCTTTTTCCGATTGGTTTTTCAGAAGAGGCTTTTCCGATATTTGGCCCTGGGTAGATGAAACTAGAAATACAGGGCTTCACGAAACAGCGTGTCTGCTCATCTGCAAAAAAAAAAAAAGCACAAGAGCAGATGCATTCCTTGGACGTGGCAGTGTTTTTCTGGGATACCTCTTGTATCCCGGAAAACCCCGCAATATAGACGTACCTTTAGAGGGAGACCTTTGGGGCTTGAAGGCTCCCTTTTCTCTTTTTCTCTTGCCACCTTGCTGTAAAAACGTGAACCCAGACTGTCAGTAGGTTCAGTGATGCAAATAAAATCTGCATCCTGGCTTGTAGAAGGATGTTATGCTCTCAAAATGTTTTTTAGCATAAATATATTATGATGTGATTCATCTGGGCAGCATTGTAAAAAGCGCTTAATATAATTATATATACAATGCACATTTATTTTATTTTATTTTTATTTTGACATTCTTGTAGAGCCAACTGTGCGAGCAGAACTGATGGAACAGGTGCCTCATATCGCTATATTTTGTCAAGAAAACAGGCCTTCAATACCATATGCTTTTTCCAAATACTTATTGCCTATTGTGGTAAGATACCTCGCAGACCAGAATAACCAGGTAAGAGCTGTTTGTAAACTGTTAAGATCTAAAATTGAATGGCTTGTACATCTTCTCAAATAGGATAATACAAACATTTTACTCCAGTGTTTCTTAATCTTTTTAAGACCGAGGAACACCAAACAATAATTTTTTTTATGAGGAACACACAGGATTTTTTTGTTGAGCCCCCCTCTCTACCCCCCCCCAAAAGGTCCGGGGGGAGTCACCTGCCACTTTAAGGGCAGCCTTTTTGAACTTTGTTGTTCTCCATGGCACACCTCTGACTGCCTCATGAGACACTAGTGTGCCACAGAACAGTTTAAGAAACACTGTTTTACACTATGTAAATAAGGTTTAGAGGAAGAAGAAATAAAGTGAACTCTGAACTTACATGAAAGTTTATATTTTTTGAAATATGATCTGACTGGTCTTAGCAATCTGTGACTTCCTTTATGTAGTGCTAAAGCACCGCTACCAAAACAAAACACTGTCCTTATGTAGGCTTTCATATTGTAAATTTATTTGAAGCAATGAAGAAATAAAACCATTTTAAAATATAATTTATAGATTTTAAGATCATTGGGACCTATTATAATCTTATTTGATTTCCTGCATAACAGGCTGAAAACCTCACTCAGTTATTTCTGTCTTAATCCCATAGCTTTTGTTTGAGCTGTAGCATAACTTTTAGCCTAGATGTAAAGATTTCAAGTGTTGGTGCATCCGCCATGTTCTTAATTAAATTCTTCTAGTGGATAATTACTCCCAGTCTTTAAAAATAAAGGCATTTTTTCTAGTCTAAATTTGTCAAGTTCCATCTTCCCATCATTTAACTTTATTATGCCCTTTTCTACTTGATCTCTTCTCTTGTGTATTTACTTGGAGACTGTGATCAAACCATCTTTTCACCTTCTTTGAAGAAGCTCAGTCTAGTTTCTTATAGTTTATCAATCTAAGGCAGGGGTCAGCAACCTTTTCAAACCAAAAAGCCAAACTACATCAAAATTCAGAATACGTGGTCAATAAAGAACCAGTATAAGAATGCCCGTTTGCATGACTGAAAATATATAACTTAATAGTACTAATAATTGACATGATGATTAATAATAGCATAAATGAAACATTGTACTCATGGACTTTATTTAATGGGACTTCTGGCACCTTTTCACACATTTATTTGAAATTTACATCATAACTGGTCAAATTCAGCTTCATGCATGCATTCAGGCTAGCTTCTGTCAATCTTGAATGCAAATTACTTTTGATGTAATTCAAATGAGGGAGAGCTTGCTCACACAGATAGGTGGAGCCAAACATTGAAAGTAAAGCCAAGCTTACATTGTGCATGGTGTTGTATGTGACAGGAAGTTCTTTCCAAGTTTACAGAATCACCGTACTCCAATTTCTTCATGTTAGCCTATGCGTGCAGTTTTGCCAGTTCTGCACATTGTCGAACAAGGCATTCTAAATCAGAATTCAGTTTGACGAATTTTGCCACCCCAATATCCAACTCCTTGAAATCTGCTGTTTCTGTTTTCATTTCCAAATCGCTGATTGAGATGCCTGGAATGACTGTCAAATCCAGTTCTTCAACAGATGCTTTATGTGGATGAATCATAAACTTAAACAGAGCACTGTGTTTACAAATGTCAACAAAATGAGACTTGAATACCATCAGAAGCTCAGAAACAAACCCCACAAGGTGCTGCAAATCAAGGCTGCTCTTTGAATTCTCTCTCTCATACGAATCACAAGACCTTCATAATCTTTCAAAATGTGCCAGTCTGCCCGTCTCGATATCTTTGGTGAAGACAGTCAGTTTTGACTCAAATCCAAGCACTGACTGCTGCAGAGTCAGGAATGTATTTCCTTGCCCTTGTAGCTTAAGGTTCAACTCATTCAAATGACCTGTAATGTTGACAAGATTGTAAAACTTGAGCAACAAGTCGCAGTCTGAAAGCTCTGTGTTTGATACCCTTCATATAAAAAGAGCCTTAATCTCGTTAATGTCGGCGGCAAAACAAGACAAAGCTTTTTCATTAAATAACTAGCGAACATTGTGCATTAGTAGATCGGGGTATTCAGAATTTATTTCCTTGAGCAGTGACTGAAATTGATGGTGATTAAGGTCTCAGGCAAGAATCCAGTTGACAATGCAAACGACCAGTCGCATTACATATCTGAGTTTAAGTTCCACAAGATTGCACACACAGTGCCTCCTGATGCACAATGCAATGAAAAGTGGGCAGTTCTGCTGTTCTGACAAGAGTAAGGAATCCCTTGTATTTTCTGACCATACTGTGTGCACCAGCCGTACAAACAGCCACAAGATTATCCCACTGTATTTCTTTCTCGTTTACAAAGTTCATCACAGTTTTAAGGCTGTCTTTACCCTTGTTTGATTTTTCATTGGTAATTTCTCAATCATTTCTTCGTGCACAGCATTTCCACAAATATATTGCCCCAGAATACCCAACTGATTCATGTCACATGTCAACTGTCTTGTCCAAAGCAAATGAAAAATAAGTAGCTGAACTCAAATTTTGCATTTGTTCCTTGTTGATTTGATGGGCCATTTTCATAGCTCTGTCATGAGCTGTTTTTGTCTTGAATTTTCTGTAAGATTTTGTCCTTGTTGTGAAACTCGTCAAATAGTTCATGACCATTTTTAGTATACATCTCTTCAAGTAATCCCTGTCAGTAGAAACTTCCCCACTCAAATAATGCTGTATGAGCTCACAAAACTTGCAGAGTGTAAGCTCCCACCTTTTTTGACCACGTCAGCAGGCTATTTTGTCCAATGTTCATTTTTTTTTGTTGCAGCTCCTCGCAGGCTTTTTCGTGTGTCACCCTGGGGAAGAATTGTAGCAAAAGCTGCCTCTTTTGTCATGAAATTTGTGGGGGGTTTTGTTGTGTGAGAACTCTCACTACAGATGAGACAATGTGGAGATCCAGATCTATCCACAAATGCATACAAGTTTGTCCCCTTCTTTTGGAAATTTTGGTACTCGTCATCTCTCTTCCTCTTTGTCATTTTTACTGTTAGGGGGTTACAAAATTCACCATCATATACGATGATGGAAATATTTCTTGATCAAATAAAAAGAGAATATGCACAACTATCAATGAGTGGAGAGGATGGGTGGATGTTAAAATGAACAGTTAAAGATGAAATAGCCAAAAAAAACCTTCTTGACATGAGTAATTACGTGTTTTTAAAATCTCGAATTTTTCGTTTTAATTTTAAAAAGTTGTGTGTATTTTGGGAATGACAAAAGAGTTATATATGGTTCCATATTGAGCCAGAGGTTGCAGACCCCTGCTCTAAGGCATGTTATCCAGACCTCAAATCATTCTTGTAGATAAAGATGAAATAGCCAAAAAAAACCTTCTTGACATGAGTAATTACGTGTTTTTAAAATCTCGAATTTTTCGTTTTAATTTTAAAAAGTTGTGTGTATTTTGGGAATGACAAAAGAGTTATATATGGTTCCATATTGAGCCAGAGGTTGCAGACCCCTGCTCTAAGGCATGTTATCCAGACCTCAAATCATTCTTGTAGATCC